TCCCCTTCTCTTCTCCTCCCGCCGGACTCTGGCCGCCGCCGCCGGCAGGCGGCTTTGAGCTTACTGGCTTAGAGCTTCCGGGAGGTCAGATGAGCTTTGCTTCACTGCTGAGCAGCCATGGAAACCACATACCTGGGCTTGAGCTGGGACTTTCACAAGATGGACATATTGGAGCTCTGAATCCTAATGTTTTAAGCCAGTTTTATATGCAGATGGGATATGGAGAAGGAAGAGGAAGAGATGATGTATTGCAAAATTGTAAGCTGGGCCATGAAGTCGAGGATGTTTCTAATGAATCAAGTTGAGATTTTGAGATTTTGAGAAGGAGAATTGGTTGAATTATTCTTCTGCAGCCCAATCTGCTAAATCTGTAAGGATTCTCTGAATCAAGATCAAAACTAAAAAAAAAAACTAAAAAATAAAGCAGAAATAGGATAAGTTGTTGCCATGGAAGGAGATGATCTGATTGTTCTTCTGTTGCTCATACAGGTGATTAGTGGAATTGTGTTGATGGCTTCTATTAGGTTTGTAGATAGAGAGATTGGTGTTTCAGTGTTTTTATGTTTAGGTAGTGTTGTTGTTAGAATTGGTTTGATATTTGTAAGAAAGTAAATAAATAAATTATTTGATTGCATATTTGTTATTGTATATGATGTTGTTAGAATGATGATTCTTGTATAAATAAATTCTGATGTTTTGATTTTAATGATTGTTAAAGAAAGGTTTATTTGTAATAGTTTCAGTATTGCTGTTTTTGTTGACATTATGTGTGAATCTTATATGGTTTTCATATGCAATTATTTTTTTATTCTAATTTATTTGTTATTTTTATTCGCTCAAAATTTAAAAAGTTAAAATTAATCAATATTAAAACCGGCATCATATATTCTAACTTATTCGAAGTAGTTTTGGGCAAGAAGAATCGATTCATGATTGAACCAATCTGATCGTCCAATCTAATCGAATTTATAAATCATTAAAAAAATAATATCAACGAATGAAATCAAAGATGAGAGACTAAAAAATGTTCATAAAATCATGTATAAATGTTAATTTCTTTTTATATATGTACGTTGAATCTTTAAACAATACTAGGAAATATGATAAGAAGGATGATAAAAGAAAGCTCCACACTTAGGGGAGAATATGAAAAACGAAAGTATTTTCATTTTTTAAAAAAGAAATTAACCAATTATTTTACTTTTTCGGGTGAAGTAATTTGGTCAAGTCTTTTTCCGGATAAGGATAAATGTTTTATTGACGTGCCAAAATAATGTTAAATGATGTGACATGACCGAAAATTATGAATTTTCAATTACAACTGCCGTAAATATACATTTAAAATCTAGAATAAAAAACTATTAATTAAAATTTAAGCAAGAATATATATATATA